TTTTTTTTTTTTTTTTTTTTTTTTTTTTTTTTGTATTTTTCAACGTTCAGAATTAGATAGACGGATGTTTGTTTTAGTTACGTACATCAAAGTGGAAAAAATATTTTCGGATTATAATAGGGAATTGGATAGCATCTTTCGATTCACATCGAGCGAAATCACTTCATTTCGGAAAATTATCTTCATTATCATCGAAAGAATTGTTTTAATAACAAGTTCTGAAAATTTGATAGATGAGATAGAGATATTTAAAAAGTATCATTGAGTGTTTCTTCTGTTTAATATTTATTTGAAAGTATCGAACAAACAAAAAAATGTGTAAATATAAAAATAAATTGAGAGGATGTTATTAGGTTGATGGAAAGATAAAGAAGTACTTGGGAAATATAATTAATTCGTTGTTATTCAATCATTTGCACAGATTGGAAAGAAAGAAAGAAAAGGAAATTGTATATTTTGCCTTTGTGCTCGTCTTTTTATATTCATAATTTCAAATGTAACAAAAGCGTGTTGTAGCGATGATTGTTTGAAATGGGCGAGTTTCAGATTCAATAGGGATCCAGTTTTGGTATTTATGATAGTTGTATCAGGAATTACAATGTGTATGCTTTCGAAGCCACGGAACCGGATTCGAAACAATGAAACGTACTATGATCGTAATTTTGACGTAATTGGACCAAGCAACGAGAATCGATATATATATATATATATTACACGAATTCACGGATTTTCTGTCACTTTGTGTTTTTCGTTCCTGATATTACAAATAAAACCGGTATCGATAAGATCGATACTCGTTACTCGTTTGTGATAATCGCGACATATATCGCTTTAATTTTAAACCGAATTCGAGCGTGCACCATTCTTTTAACTCCTTATTTCGCTGTTTATTTATTTATATTAAAATATACTTCGTATTGCCGACAATTTCTAAAATTTACAAACTTTCAAAAAGCTATTTACTCTTACGAAAATTTTTGATAACGATCGACATTCTCGATTTTATAAATCATTTGTGACTTATAAAATTTCGACGAACGATATTAAGTTCATTCCAGCGCAAAGAAATTCTGACAATTTTATTACGGCAATAAAATTATTCTTGGCCCATGCAAATTCTGCTCGTTTTCGCGATTAGGATATATATATATGTAGCTTAAGAACACATACGAAAATAATGAATAACCAAATAATGAGGAGTTCATAAAAATATCTCATTAACCCCTTCGTGTATTCTCCGTTCCCTTTTATAATTATTAATAATGGAAAATGGCGCTTTTTTACTTATTTTTTTGCACGCGTTAAAATTGAGAGAATGAGTTTTACCGAGGGAACGAGTTTATTATTCGATTAAAAATTATTAATAATTGTTATTCGATTGATTAACTTAAATTATGAAACGTTTTGAAAAAGTACATTGAATATTTAGATTTAACAAATGTGGAACAACATGGTTTCGTATGTATTAAATGTATTAAAGTATTAAATGTGAAAAGGTTAATCGTGAATCGGTTAGGATTATCGTTCTTGACATTTAATACCATGTTTAATACCACTTGTTTTTCATTCAACCGAGAGAATACCGAGCCTACTCTATGGATTATCGAAAAATTCTGATTATTTCTCATCAATTAGTTTGAAGCTCGTGATAATTGCAATCGATATTCTCCATTAGTAAGAAATGTTCGTAATCGTTCTAAATATCGAATTACTTTCTCATTTGTGTTAATTTTTGCTGATCCTTCGTTCATTTTTATTTCCTTATTTCTTCTG